TGTTTCTCACACATCAGTTTCAAATAAGTAGGTACAGTTTGACAGATGTGTACAATAAAGTAAAGTTTGACAGAAGCGTACAATAAAGTTAAACTTTATGGCCGCAAAAGCGACCACAAAATCAACGTTTTTGTGATGATAGCCTAAAAAAGTATATTTTTTGTTGTTTGTGTGTAATCAAGGTTCTCAAACTGCACTAAAATGATCTATAAACAGGTATTGGTTGAAATGTGCCACGAGAATAAGTTTTCAATGATCGTATATTTGGAACTAGTAGAACATGGATTTAAAACGAAATTTAAAAAAAAACGGGTGTTTGGTGCGACAAGTGCTTAGCTGATTTTAGTAATAAAACAAACACGAAAGCGAGCACTAAACCATATCGGTGCTCTGAATCGCAGTATATAATGTATTATCAAATTGCGCATAACGTGAAGCCATAGTATACTGCGAATCAAACCAGAGCTGCTCTGAATAATAGTACAGAATGCCAATACGCAGCATTTCCCCACTTATACAAAAAAAACTTGTACAATAAGTAAAGTAAATAGAAATATTGTTGCTGAAAACCCATTTTTTTGAGAAAAGCCCTTTTGGCATCCTATAACGCTATCTGCTAAGGTGCTCATTTGACGACCTTGCACCACTCATTGCACCACAACCTTCTATGTTGAAAAAATGCATTTGTCATTCGTACAAAAAAGGTTTCAAATTCTAATTCTATCCATAAGTTTATTCCGTAACGCGTACTCAGATCGAAGCGGCGTGCTCATCAGCTGACACTTTGTATGACGCACAGTTCATTGACAAAGACAAAATTTTATTTCGCAAAGCATAAAGGAAATCAAAGCAGCAATGCTGGAAGAAAGAAAGGCATTTAGATGTTACACATGCCACGTACACAGGCGTTGGACAGACAATTAAATAAAGAAATTTTGATAATCCAATAAATCTGGTCGTAAAAATGATGCGATATTCAGGCGCACTTAGAATTGACACAAACAACTCTCTGACAGCTTCAGCAAACTTTACTCCTTTTTAGCGCATTTTTGCAAAAAATTTTTTTTGTAAAAAGTAGCTTTTAATCTCACTTTGGCTGGCTGGCTGGCTGGCTGGCTGGCTGGTCTGGCTGGCTGGCTGGCAGTAAATGCGCGCCCGTAGAAAAACGCTTGTAAAAAGACAAGGAGTGTACATGTAACTATCGGGGCCGTGTAATTAAGAACGTTAGGGATGGGGCTACAAGATTTGGAGTCGACGACATCTGGACGCCATCCCCGAGCGTATTATACTAACCTGGAGATTTTTCAGTTTTTATCTATCTTCTTCTACAGTTTTTCTCCGATTGTTTTCAAATTGGTGTCGTCGGGAAGATCTTGTCAACGCGCACAACTCCTGCGTGGCGGAATTTTGTGTTTTTTCCTAGGGGCGAAATAAACCACCTTTTGCGCGGCGCGCTTCGAGGGGTAGTCGACTTTGGGCGCCCAAAAGTTTCTTACAGCGCGAATCGCGGTCTCTCTTTCTCGTGTCACTAATAGAAGGTCGAGCTATGTGAAGTACCCAAAAGTTGAATACGATTTTATGCCGGCATTTTAGCGAAATCTACCAAAACGTGAATTACGAATGAACGGGACGTCGGAACTGTGTATCGACAAAGGGAATGTGGTAACCCCCGACGAGATCTTACTGATTCAAATCCGAATTGTTGCGGGTGATCAGAAGTGGGTGTCGACAAAGGGAATATGGTAACCCCCAAAGGATTTTACTGATGGTGGAGTCAAAACTTCAAACGCGAATTGCAAGTGCACGGTAAGTGAGAAAATGGTACCGACAAAGTGAACGTGGTAGCTTTCGGCAAGATCTTATTGATGGTGGAGTCAATATTGGCTAATAAAACACTGATCTGCCACACAAAAATGCGCTGAAGTCCCTTCGATCTCACACGAGGACTTTGATCATTTTTTATTAAACAGGATGTTGATGACAAAACAAAACTGGCTTGTTGAATGAAATGATCAAATTTGGAGGACAGTAGAGCGCTTTTACTTTTAATAAAAGGCAAACCTTGTACAAAGGGATGACTATGCAACAACACCTTGGTTGACTCTCACTCGCATGCGTTCTCCCAAACCTTACTAAATCACATTACAAGAACTTGAATCTCTCAGCACGATTACGCGAGCGATTACTTAACTTCATCTGCAAACTTTATGATCACGACAAATATAACACTGTAACAAATATCACGCAACCAAACTGTCACCAAACTCCGTTTTAAACATAGTCTCCAGTATTTAAAGGATTCACCACTTCCACTATAAAATAATCTCCTTTAAGAATTTCCAATAAACCGCCAATTACAATTAGAATAGAATAACGCAAACTTCGACGGAACGCGTCTAACGTCCCCACTTATAATATATGAACGCACACATGCAACCGAACGACCAAATAGGTATAACCTTTTATAATCACATAAATTCGACCTTATCTAAATTGACCAATTTACAAAAGCGATAAAATTAAAACGAAAAATTACGCATCTAAACAAATTTCTAAAAGGAAAACCAAATACTGCAATACAAATCTAAACGAAACGAACACACTTTTTGTTTATTCATATAAACAACTACTTTTAGCGGAATGGTCCCAGAGTGGAATTTTTTTGCAATATGTAGCCTATACCTTGAAGGTGTGCCAGATGGCCATCAAATTTGGCTGTCTCAAAGGGGGGCTCCCCCATGAATTATTTCCTGAGATGCTGTTTCACATTCGACAACCAAGTGTGGTCTCAGAATTTGCATAATACCCTTCATGGTATTTTAATGAATTAATTTCAACCAAACATATCCTCTTCCATGACTTCTTATCATGATCGGACATAAATAATATTCCTTCTATCTCAAGAATGGATTGTCGGAGGAAGGTACTCACAAAGGACGATTGGGACGTCTGGAAGAAATATATCTATCAGTGATGTCAACACTTTACGAGCATATATCTCGAAAACTCTATCGGCGGAAAGGACCCACAAAGGCAAAATGAATTGTTTGGACGACATGCTACTACCTTATAACGCAACCATTTACTAAGTTGTTTTAATTTTAAAAAATGCGCTTTATCTGCGCAATTTATTATAAGTTTAGTCTGGAAGACACAACATCTATGGTTAAAAATTGTTGAAAGTCAAGTTGATGTCAACTTTGGCCACTGACGGCCAAATAGGCCATTAAATAATTATAAAGTTTGCATCTAATAGAAATTGATGAAACAAGATTCCAAAATAAAAAAAAAATGCGCTAAGTGGCCACCACTTTGTCCGTCCGTCTGTCTGTCCGTCCGGGCAGCGTATTGGCATTCTATACTATTATTCAGAGCAGCTCTGGTCTGATTCGCAGTATACTTTGGCTTCACGTTATGCGCAATTTGATAATACATTATATACTGCGATTCAGAGCGCCGATATGGTTTAGTGCTCGGTGTCGTGTTTGTTTTATTACTAAAATCAGCTAAGCACTTGTCGCACCAAACACTGTTAATATCTTCACCCGTTTTTTTAAATTTCGCTTTAAATCCATGTTCTACTAGTTCCAAATATACGATCATTGAAAACTTATTCTCGTGGCACATTTCAACCAATGCCTCTTTATAGATCATTTTAGTGCAGTTTGAGAACCTTGATTACACACAAACAACAAAAAATATGCTTTTTTCTTGCAAAGGGAACACTTTTTGTAAGTGTATGATGTGTTTTATAGAAACCCATTATATACAGTGTTTCAGAACTCTAAACCATATCGGTGCTCTGAATCGCAGTATATAATGTATTATCAAATTGCGCATAATGTGAAGCCATAGTATACTGCGAATCAGGCCAGAGCTGCTCTGAATAATAGTACAGAATGCCAATACGCGTCCGGGCATTCGTTGGGACGCTACTAGTTCTTGATCTTAAGAGCTATTGTTCTACTTTTTTCGCTATTTGGTTCGTTATGGTGTTGAGGCTTGCACCAAGGAAGGAATTTTGTCTGCGTTTATTGCTAAAAAAGTTATTGTAAAAAAACCAAAAAGCCATTTTTTACATGTTCCAGAATTTTACACTTTTGCCGTTTGTAGGATCGTTCATAATTTTGTATTGCTGTATGTCGTCCGTCTGTTGGTCTGTCCGTCTGTTCCTTTGTGTGTCTGTCCGTGTGAACGATAACTTTGTTTAGAAATGTCCGATCGCTTTGACATCTCCGTTAGTTATGAACTGAATTGCATGAAATTCAATATGGGCTTAGATTTAGCCATATAATACGCAATGCCAAAAGTTGGGTCGAATCGATTCAAAATTCACAGTGCCCTTTTCGCATCTCGACTATTTATAAACCGAATTGCAAACTTTTTTATTTATAAAAGTATTTAAATGAAATTTGATACATAAGCACTTGGAATAAAGGAAAATCTAACGCCAGTTTCAAAATTTGCTTTTGTGCATGCGCAGTGCCAACTTTTTTATCTATGGAACCATTTAAATGAAATTTGATCAATAGGTGCTTGCATGGTACAATAAGACAAGGTATGCCTATGCGTGACGTCATTGGGATAACTGGGCTCTGGGTGCTTGGAACAAAGGAAAATCTAACGTTAGTTTCAAAATTTAGGTTTGCGCATGCGCAGTGTCAACTGTCTTATTTATGAAAGCATTGAAATGAAATTCTTCTTATAAACTGAAATTGAAGTAGGACGTCAAAAATTGATTGCACCTATGCAACGCTATCTTTCATATTTGTGGCCCGATGTTATACGATTTTAATAGAAGCTGCATCTTACAATAATGGGAAATGAATGCAAGTGGAAATGTGCTTTTTGTAAATAGTTTACGATTCCTTTTTTAACTTGTTGTTCTTTTTTTGTAGAACTTGTGAATTTGTCATAGCAAAACAGGATTAAAGTGGACTTCAGTAATAAGATTTTGCATAAATACTATAAATGTCGCCCAGAATTAACGTCTCTGTTCTCATTTCTTCCATGTGTTTTCACTAACGTTTTACGTTTTAATTACAGACACGGCAAATATAATACCTATATCAAAGAAATTGAAAAGTGAACTAAATTACAGCAGTCCGCAGAATAACCCCGTGTCTACCCTGAACCAACTGAAACCAGGCCTTACATATGAGACTGTTGAACAGATTGGTCCTGCGCATTCGCCTATCTTTCGTATTGCGGTGACCGTTAATGGACGTACATATTTAGGAAGCGGAAGCAGTAAAAAGTTAGCGAAAAATAAAGCTGCCGAGCAGGCGTTACAATCTTTTATACAATTTCCAAACAATGTCAACCACTTCCCATCTGCAAATGTTACCAATGTTGACTTCACTAGGGATCATTTTGAACAAAAGAAAGTTGTTAAAGAACCTGTAAAGGAGTTATCACCCACGCAACCAAATCTAGTGAATAATACTGGACAACCAAAAAGCTCTGTTATGGTTCTAAATATGTTATACCCACATGTGAAATACGAGTGTGTAGAAAATGGAAATGACGCAAGTTCACGTTTTAAGGTGATCGTTACTATAGGAGAAGATTTGTTCACTGGGACAGGTACGTGGACCGATTTTTTAATTTGGTTATTTATCGTCGTTACCAATTTAGGTCCCAATAAGAAAGCTGCCAAGAATGCTGCCACGACTATTGCTCTATCGAAATTGTTGGGTGACACTGGAGCTGTGTTGGGTACAACGTCTCCATATCGGAAACAAAGTGTAACATCTGAACAACAGCATCTTGCAGATTGCATTTCTAGGTAAAGTGTTTTTACATAAGAGAAAAAAAAAGGTCAAATTGTCATCCATGTTCTATACTTCTAGTTCTATAACATTTATTACATTAATGGAAGGAAGCATTGTTGTTGTATTCCACAACTTGAATTGCTTATGTTGCTGGCATCCAAAAATTTGTATTTTGAAAGCGTCAAGTATCCTCACCTGGAGTAATTACCGTTACATCACTTACTTATCACCCTCTAAATTGAGTATTTGAGATCTGCTCGGTAACTCAGTAACGCACTGTACGTTTTTGTATGGGAGTAAAATCATCTGATCCGTCACGCTCGGATAATGCCGTGAGAAAGATTAAATGCGAGGTTAATGTAACAGTTTTTCGCAATCGCTTATCGCACAAATTCCAGTTAAAACAAGTGAAAAGTTCAATTTACCTTTTATCCAAGTATGGAGTTTTTTTGCAACACCGCCCGTGTTACAAGTATCATCGATAAGTCGCCAGTAATAATTTCCCTGCAAAATCACACATGCGCAATAGACAACTTCTTTTTTGTGGAACAATTTGATCGAAAGGTTTAGGGTAGGTTCCGCTAATAAAAGCAAACAAAATGGACTTGCCAAAAAGCGTACCGCGCATGCGTTATTTGTGGATCAATTTGATCAAAATGTTATGTTCTTCATTTTAATTAAAAGTTAACTGTTAATCTTTATAGCTACGTGAAAGATTTAATCAACTAGTTATGTGTTCTGGTTAGTGAAATTGAACCACCAATCTTCACCAATACACGGAATGAAAATGTTCGCACTCAAGTAGTACTCTTTTAAAGTTCAACCTCGTCTGCCAGGCGGCCCTTGACTTTTAACCGTTAAATTTTCATCAATACGAGGAATTAACAATTTCCTGCACACAAAGTGGCCCTCGCCTGCTCTTATAACTTCACCGAAAATGTAATTTTCGCACAAAAATTAATCCACAATGGTTCGCGAAAAACAATGTATAGTAAATCTTCGACAGAAAGAAACCCAGCCACAGTGTATGCAGTCGCTCGCAAATTCGTCTTCGAATCTAATTTTTAATGCAACCAAACAGGTATGTTCGGGCTCTCGAAGTCGAGCAAGAATCTTTCTTTCTCCCGCCTCCTTCACTATTTTAACCTCGTTCGGTAAAAATGCGGCAACGGGCCCTATTTCCTGAACGAAACAATGTCAGGGGCTCGACTTTCCGCACAACGGACGAAAATGATACCTCCTAAGCAATTGCGGCAACCGTGCTCGCTTACTGCAATACATTTCTTGATATGGCTCGTTATCGCCAGACATATCTTTGTTCAAGTTCACTATAGAGTGGTACATGTGCTTACCAAAATATAAATTCGAGAAATTACTTTTCTACTTCAAAAGCGACTACCGGGACAGTGTTCACAGAAATCTAGACGGTTATTCATTCAATTTATTCTTAGTTTGGCATAAACATTTAAACCTATTACATAGTTTCTTATTATATTGTAATATTATTACCTACAGTTACTAACATTTATAAGTGAATATTGCTAACTCATTTTGCTAGAATTATTATGTTGATAGTTTGCGGATGACAAATAAGTGTTAAATAATGCAGGAGTTCGCTCCCATAAAAGTTACTAATCCGCTTTGACAGTTTTCATTTATATATGGCAATAGTTGTTAACCCTTTTCACCAAGAAAATTAATTGAGCAACTAATAAAACATCAATTTTAAACACACATGCTACATACGCTTCACTGTGTGCCCTTTCTATGTTTGGAGCATTCCAACCCTATCTTATCCCACAATTAAACATAACTTGAGGATGGAAGGAGGGAGTATATTTTCTTACTATGTTTGACTAAAATTCTGCCATCATGGGTTTCGATTTGTTCAGAGGGCACAGAATGCGATGAGCCATCTCCATATCCGTCAGATGTTTTTATATGACTCATACGTTCCCACTGTACAATAGTCATGTACAAGCGTTGTTGTATGGTTTTTTACATGATCGCGTCAGACGTCAGACACTGAGTTAGTCCCATGATGGTATCTTTCACATGAAAACATGTTAACTGCTAGTTTTATTTGACTTTGTGTTCATCTAATGTAAAATGTACAGCTGACACACGGAGAAACAACGTTTCAGGTCGCGCAAGTGACGTCACGCGGTCGGCAATGATCGCGTACTTTAATAGCTTATTAAATACCCGCTTTAGTGTAAATGGTTTATTGCTCTTTTAACTAATTATGCAAAATTCACGTTAGTTTGACAACACTAACAACTGTTTACTAATGTATCTATGATTCAGCTACTCAATACACAACACTCCTCCCCTTCTAGTAGACACCACGAAATCTCGAAAACGACAGGGCATTCCGGCGTTCCTTTGTGGTCTTTGCATACCGGTTGTTACTGTCATATTTTCTTTTGTATCTCCTAATGCGGTCTCTACTGGTTCCTCCTCCTGAAGTCTGTTGTCATCAGTACGTAGATTGTCCGTTATGACTTCATCGGTCTCTGATGGTCCATTCATAACGTTTCTACGTAGATGGTCTACATGTCGCTTCTGTGTTTTTCCAATTTCATCCACCGTTTCGTAAGTCACTGGACCCAACTGCCTCACTATCTTCTCAGGTTGCCATCTTGAACCTTCCCCTCCACCGAATTTTCGGGCCATCACAGATGCTGACTGTTCAAACACTCTGGTACTTTTAGATCCAGCTTCCATCATCTTCTCCTGCGTTTCTCGCACTTTTTTTGTAAAACTAGGCCGAAGCAGGTCAAGACAAGTGCGTATTTTTCTTTTGAACATTAATTCAGACGGTGATGCTCCTGTTGTGGTTGTAGGCGTAATATGTTGGGTTATCAAAAATCGAGCGATTTTTACTTCCCAATCTCCCGTGCTCAGTTTCTTTAAAGTTCTTTTGGTTTCTTGTACCATTCTTTCCGCTTGGCCATATGACGCTGGGTGGTATGGTGAAACTCGAGTATGTCGGATTCCATTCTTTTTAGCCCAACATTCGAACTCTTCTGACGTAAACGAACTTCCATTGTCACTTACAATTACCTCTGGAATTCCATGAGTTGCGAAAATTCCACGTAATGCTTGAATGGTGCATTTAGATGATGTAGACGGAACTCTTTTTACCTCTAACCATTTACTATAAGAGTCAACAATAATTAAAAATTGTTGTCCACAAAATGGTCCTGCGTGGTCTATATGTATTCGACTCCAAGGAATCTCACTCCATTCCCATGGGTGTATAGCTGCTTTAGCAGGCATCTTCATTTGTAATTGGCACTCTTGGCATTGTCTTACAGCACTTTCAATGGCTTGATCTATTGACGGCCACCAAACATAGGATCTTGCCAGTGCCTTCATTCTTACTACTCCTATGTGTGCCCCATGAAGAACTCTCAGCACTCGTTCCTGGATTTTCGGCGGAATCACTACTCTCGTACCCCATAGTATGCAATTCTTGTAAATTGATAACTCATTCTTTCTAACCTTGAAAGGACGTACTTCATCTTCCGCTAATCCCTCTTCCAACTTATTCGGCCAGCCCAATTGTATAAACTCCCGAATCCTGCTATGAACTGGATCGCTTCCTGTTAATTCTGCAACTTTCTCGTCGTTTAAAGGTATTTCGGGCATATTCTCCATCATGAGTACGTCGCCAATATGTTCTACGCCGCCGAGATCAACTTCTGTAGACAATGGTATGCGGCTCAGAGCATCCGCGTGACTTATGTCTTTACCTGGCCTATGTATTAGCGAATAATTATAATTACTAAGAAATAATGCCCAGCGCACTAATCTCGGAGATGACATCTGTGGAACCTGAATGTTCTCGCTCAATATTCCTAGAAGCGGCTTGTGGTCCGTAATGATGTCAAATTTCCGTCCATAGCAATAATTATGAAACTTTTTAACTCCCGCAATTATTGCCAGAGCTTCCTTGTCCAATTGGCTGTACCTGCGCTCTGTCTGGTTTAATGTTTTTGAATGAAACGCGATGGGAGCTTCCCTACCATCTTCTTCCACATGACTCAGTACTACTCCAATTGCCCAAGGAGAAGCATCGCACGAAAGTCTTAAAGTTTTCTTTGGGTCATAGTGAACCAGCAATTGTTCCGACGAGAGCAACTCCTTGACCTTTTCAAATGCTTGTTGGTGTCTTCTTGTCCACTTCCACGGAACGTTCTTGTCCAGAAGTCGATGCAAGCATTCAGCAACATTCGCTTTATTTTTTAGGAATCCGTGGTAGAAATTTAACAATCCCAGAAATGATTGTAATTCCCGTTTGCAAGATGGTATAGGCGCATTTTTAATATCTTGAACTTTGTCAACCGTAGGACGTACTCCCTTTGCGTTGATGAAAAACCCCAAAAATTCAATGCCCGTAGTCCTAAAAACACATTTAGATTTCTTTAGTTTCAGTCCATCTTCTGCAAATCGGCGTAAAATTTCTTCGATCCTTTCACACAGTTCCTCATCGTTTTCCGCGGCAACCAAAATGTCATCGAAGTATGGAAAACATCCCGGAATTTCTGCCAAACGATTGTTAATGAAACGTTGAAAGATCTGCGGTGCCACCTTGATTCCGAAACAGAGTCTGTGGACCGTATAGGTACCTCTCTGAGTGATTATGGTCTGTAACTTTGCTGAATCCTCATCCACCTTTAATTGTTGATATGCCTGAGCCATATCCAATTTTGCGAATACCTTAGCTCCATTCAACGCAGTTAAGATTTCTTGAGTAGACGTCATCGGGTATGGATCATCCTGAAGAGCCCGATTAAGTGTACATTTATAGTCGGCACAAATCCTAATAGTTCCATGTCCCTTTACTACCGGCACTATCGGTGTCGTCCATGTAGGGTTATCACACGGTTTCAAAATCCCCTGTCCTATTAGTCTTTCAATTTCCTCATCAATTTTGGGCCGTAGTGCAAAAGCCACATTACGCGCCTTTAAACGAATGGGTCGTATTGAAGGATCTACTTGGAGTTTTACCGGTAGCCCTCGAAAAGTACCGAGACTGTTATTGACCACCTCACTATACTTTTGTAAAACCTTCTCTAGTTTAATGTCCACCATCGATACAGAGTTCATTGACAGTCTGATACCTAACTCTGCGAACCAATTTCGTCCTAATAAACTAATGTTATCGCCCTTCGTCACTACTAATGGCAAATTCTTAACATGTTTATTAAATACTACGCGCACCAAGCATTCGCCCAGAATCCCAATGTCCTTCTTTTGCCAGTCCCGTAAAGTTAATTTAGTATCCTTTAATCGCGGTTTGTTATGGGGGAATAGTTTTTCAAAACATGATTGTGCCATCACTGTAAAACTAGCACCCGAATCTACTTCAAATTCACATTCCCTGTCATTAACAGATAAGAAAACCCGATATGGCACTTCACCTCGACCGATATTGTGAAGTCCTGGAACAGTATCGTCGTCGGATACATCGCTGTCAGTACTAACATTTGATTTTACTAAATATTGTCCGCTCTTATTTGCTTTCTTGATTTTACCTACCCTTTTATTTCCGCTTGTTTCGTTATCTTTAGCACGATTCTTCTTCATCAAGCAAGCACGCTCTAAATGCCCCTTCTTTGAACAGAATCTGCACTCAGCATCCTTCCAACGACACGTCAATGGGTCATGATTAGCTATGCACCTCCAACATTTTGTGGTATTCAACTCCTTAGAATGTTCCATTTTGTTAATAGTAGCACTATCTGGAGCTCTTCGCAATTCCACTAGCTGGCAGGCTGCATTTTCGGCCGCTATCGCTTTATCAAATGCCATTTGAAACGTCAATTTTGCTTCCGTCAATAAGCGTCGCTGAAGCGATTCATCTCGCGCACCACACACGATACGGTCTCGAATTTGGTTTTCAAGATCATTGCCATAATTGCACAAACCACCAATTTTGCGAAGTTCGGCAACCCACGCGGAAATTGATTCAGCCTCTTTTTGATGCCTTCGATTAAATAAAAACCTCTGTACGATTTCCGATTGTTTAGGATTAAAATGGGTAGTCAACAAATCAATAATGCGGTCGAAAGTAGTGTCGGCCAATTCATTTGGTATGCACAAACTTCGCGCTATCTGAAAAGTTTGGTCACCACAAATGCTTAAAAAAACCGCACGCTTCTTATTCGCATCCGTTATTCCATTTGCTTCCAAATAAAAATTGACCCGTTGTATGTACACAGTCCATGTTTCCGGCGCTGCTACATTAAATTGTTCAATACTTCCCAAGCCTAAGGAAGCCATTGGTGTTTGATCCTCGTCGCCAATATTAAATACCCGCTTTAGTGTAAATGGTTTATTGCTCTTTTAACTAATTATGCAAAATTCACGTTAGTTTGACAACACTAACAACTGTTTACTAATGTATCTATGATTCAGCGACTCAATACACAACATAGCTTCAGATTACTTACCAGCGGCGGCGTAAATTATAAAAAAAAACGAAAATATTTGTACTTATGTTATTTTCCATTAATATAATAAGTTATATACGTACACATTTTTATATTTCTAAGATAGGCGTACACATTTTAACTAAGTAAGATTAATTAATCTCTAAATTCCTCGTGTCAGCTGTTATCGTCCCCTACGTTTATTATAATGTATGTCTAGAACTACGCCACTGGAATTTCCTAATTACAGTGCTTAAAATATTTGAAAAAGGACGAGTGCGCATTCGACCATCAAGCGTTCTTGCTCTGTGACAGCGGTATTTCTTACGCAGTGTCCTACGTGAGCGGCTAACGCGACCGGCGCGGTCGACGCTGCAGTCGCTGCGTAAACGGCAAACGCAACCAGAGTGTCCTACATACAAGCACCGAACATAAAGTAGTGCAGGCACATGTTGTTAGGCTGAAGCGGCAAACGCGGAAATATCACATATTTTGACCTGCTGAGCCGCCTCAAAAACGCTTCAGCAGTCGGTGGTTGGTAGGTAATTCATACCAATAAACTATCGTGCTTTGATATAGCCGCGACGACCGCGTGTTGCCGCTCACGTAGGACACTGCGTTATTGGTGATTTTTTAACGGCCCTGTGTTTATAGAACAGGCGCTCACACCTTAAATTTATATTACTTATTTTACTTGGCATTTCCTGCATATACAATTCAAGTTTCTGTGTATCTTTCTCCTCACCCAAAGTACAGAGTGGAGAGACCCAGTACTAATTGCATCGTCTGCAGGTGCGGTTGCACGTTTATTATTAGATCACTGCTTTAAGTCACCATTGGGATCTAGTTCTCAATGTTCCTTGTAACACAAAACATGCAGTAGCTTCTATAATCAATAACCCAGCTCTTCTAATGCAATTCAAAGTTCTTGAGCATGTTATTTTTCGAGTTTATATCGGCCTCTAAACAACAGCTCCGTAACTCTTTTATGTCAAACATAAATTCGCAATATTCTCGTTTTTAGCGCATTTTTCAACGAAGTTGGGTGCGCTATTGCAGTCACTTTCTCTGTCCGTCCGTCTGTTCGAGGCCTTAACTACTCCTACAGTTTTCAAGATATTTAGTTCGTTCTTTTTGCATTTCGGTAGCATATCGCTCTGGCACCTGAGTCAAGGAAAATCTTGACGCTTGAACTGCGCATGCGCAGGCTGCGCAATGTTAACTTTTTTATTTATAAATATATCGCATAAGTAACATGCTAGATATGACGTAGACAAAATAGCCGACAACAACCTCCCCCCACGAAATACTGCATTCTGATTGGTGTGACGCGTTTTCTGGTCCCGAAACACCGGAAGCAAAACAGCCAAAATGTGTCGTCACAAAATGGCCGACTCACGCGCTCCCATTGGCTCACACGTGACCACGTGACCGAAATACTGCATTCTGATTGGTGTGACGTCACTTCCTGGTCTCGTACATACATTGCTCATCTACTCGCATATAGTAAAAATCAGATGTGCGCATGCCAACTTTCTTATTTATGGAGATATTTCTTTGAAATGTTAACCAAAGATGCTTATAGTAAAAGCAAACGTATTGCATATTGTAAATATCAGATTAATAAGCGCGCGCAATATCAATTGCGCAGTAAGTGTTAACTTCCTTATTTATGAAGATATTTCTTTAAAATTTTAACCATATATGCCTCTAGTAGAGAAAATCACAGCGCATATAGCTATGGCCTTTGGGGAAGTATTGATCAATTTATGGAAAATGCGCGGAAGTTACTCACCTTAGGGCGAAAACCTTTTTACTTGTTTCTGCTATCACCTATTCAGACTAAAAAATTGAACTGCTTAGATTAATTCGCAAGTCCAAAAACTGACATTGTGTTTATTTCTAGTTTAATTATGGACAAATTCCACGATGTTATGAAGAATAATAGTTTTCATACCAAAAGAAAAGTCTTAGCTGGAATTGTTATGGGAAAGGGACCAGATCCATCTACCTTAGAAGTAATTGCAGTAACCACAGGTACAAAGTGTGTATCAGGAGAACATATAAGCATAACTGGTGTTTCTTTGAATGATTTACATGCTGAAATACTTGCGCGAAGATGTTTATTACTATATTTATACGATCAGTTAGAGTTGGCGTTCAGCAATGGTAAGCTTGATTAAATATGCTATGTAGGTATTTTTAATTATGTTACTTTTATGCAGAAATCGAAAACAACTCAGTTTTTGAGTTAACATCAGATCAACAAAGATTCCGATTGAAACCAAATATTCAGTTTCACTTGTACATCAATACAGCCCCTTGCGGCGACGCAAGAATATTTTCCCCGCATGAAGACAGTGAGGATGTAGATTCACATCCTATGCGGGCGTCTAGAGGCAAATTGCGAAGCAAAATTGAAGCTGGAGAAGGTACCATTCCATTACCAAAACGTGTAAATCAGACTTGGGATGGCATTTTGCAGGTGTGTATATTAATATTAATAAAGAGTGTTTATAAAAAACTTAAATAAACACATGGTGCAATTCTATTTCAATTACCGCATGTCTGCCAAGAGAAAAAAAAACATGGATTTGTCAACAAAGTCCCTAATATTGCGCAGTTCATGCAAGAAAAATAGCCCTGGTTTTATAAAAATAGCTGGCAAGTCTCTTGCAGCATTTCATCAGCTGACTTTGAACTGCGCATGCCTTTCGCAATTTCTCTTGCATGCAATTGCAAATTTTTATTGCTCCATGTCAAGCAGGATTTATGTACCTATAAACGAAAAAAGTAAATGTCATGAAATATTATCTTCTCTTCTGCAATCGCTATTTCAAATCGAAGCATCTTTAAAACTGTGGAAGCTGCAAAACAAAAAGCATCTCTGTTTGGCTGAATCGGCGCTCAAATTCAAAGATAACTTTCTCTTTTAAGTTCTATAGATGCTTTGTAATAACAGTTAACATTATTTAATTGTACACGCCCAAAGCGAATAAGAGGGATTATTTGGCATAAAGTCGCATACGTTTCACCATGTTTGTTATTTGCTAAGATATTGGAAGATTGAGAAACTTTGTACTAAAAGTAAACATAGGCAGTTATCTGACCTATGTCGATGCAAAATCCAATCTGTTTTGACATTTCCAGGGACAATTTTAAAGTCATTTCAATTGTTATGTTATAAAAATTGTGTGTATTAAATACGCTACTACAACAATTTTTTTAGGGTGAAAGATTGATGACTATGTCATGTTCTGATAAGATAGCTCGATGGAACGTATTAGGCTTACAAGGAGCACTTTTATCTCAATTTATTGAACCTATTTACCTGAGCAGTATTGTTCTTGGAAGTTTATTCAAAGAAATGCATCTGCGTAGGTAAGATATCTAATAGTTATTACTTGCAGTACTAAAAATTCAATTTTGAAATTATAAGTACTTAATTTTCAGAGCACTTTACGGTCGAATTGAAAATACACTTCAAGGTCTTCCGCCTCCATATTTATTGAACAGACCACTCATGCTTTTGACAACATCGCTGGAAGGGAGGCAGCCTTCAAAAGCGCCCAGCTTTGCTGTGAACTGGGTATTAGGATGTGATACCATTGAAATTATAAACACTACGGAAGGAAAACCAGATAATGGGTACTCAAGACTCTGTAAACAAAACTTATTGAACCGTTTTACCAATCTATGTTCAACAGTTGATATAGAGCAACCACATTACTACTCTGAAGCGAAATCATTAGCAAGTAACTACAACGTGAGTACTTTGTATAACTGGTTCAGTTAATGTGATAGAATGAACAAGATTGTTGTCTGTCTGAAAAAATGTAGTTTTAATCAATGATCTTTTAATTATTTAAAACCAGCATGCCTAAGTAAAGATCTTTGTTGACGATAGGTTTGCTGTGAAAACGCATACGATTTGTTAAAGTTGTATGGAAGCTCTTTGTGTTTTTGCCTCAGTTCTGTTCAGACAGAACAGCAATAGGTACATTGGCTAACAATACCAGTTTAGTCGTTTGGAATTTTCAATAATGTTTCATACCTAAGGGGTAAAACTAGTTATTTTAGTCCTATGCATTACAAATCTAATTTTCTTTCTGATTTTGTGTTGTACATCTTTAATAATTTAATTTGAATTTTTTTCAAGGTTGCAAAAGCTCGACTGTTTGAGGCGTTTAGTAAAGCTGGAGCAGGAGATTGGGTGAAGAAACCCATTGAACAGGACGAATTTGAACTAAAGGCTCAAATGTAAATACTCGATTACTTTTAAGAAAAAATTTTTCCAAGCAACCGTTGTAGATTTTAGTTTTATTCCATAATGAGAATAAATTACGTTTCTGGACATTTGTTTTAAAATTAAATATACATATTGTAATGTCGTTCTACTATGTTTTGTTTTAAAAACATAACTGGAAGTGAAATGAGTATCCAAATTTTTTATATTGAATTTTGTAGACATGACATAATACACATAATTAGTACAGTTCTCACTTGTAAATTGGATTTGTGTAGAAATGCAACACTAAATTAGGTTACATATAAAGACTCATGCCCACATATCATAAGCAAGTGGAAAAACCTCTGTTGTGTCATGCCTGTATCAATTCAAGAATATCAGTATTTTTTAGTTACATGACTATTTCCTTGTAGACCTGTAAATATGTAGACTATTTGTTTCATTTCACAAATTTGTGGTTTTATGTAACTACATCGAATTAAACTTATTTAAACAATTTCGAAATTATTAAATTGGGAGTAAACCTTTAAGGACACGGAAGCGCAAGAACTCAAAGCTCAATTCTTGATAGATGGTGTTGAATATGTTGTATAAATTAAATATTGCAGCGCAGCTCTTTGGTAGAAAGCGCTACTAGCACGAGTATACGCGCACAACCTAGTTTACAGAATTTGTGTTTTCCTATATCTCTACCTCGATTCATTACTTTTACGACAGCGACATTACAAGATCGACAATTTCGTGTTAGAGTAGGTAGTACGCTTTCTACATCCAGAACGTTAGAAAATGGAATACCGCAAGCGCAAGGTTCTACCTTAAGTGTGGTATTATTTGCTATTGCAATCAACTCCATTACTGCCTCCATTTCTGACGATGTAAACACATATCTGTACGTCGATGACCTAACTCTTTTGTATTCAGGACCGAGTATGGGGGAAATTAATAGAAAAATGCAACAGGATTGACAGTGTCGTATTAAACTCACATAAATGTGGCTTTAAATTATCAGTCGATAAATCTTACTGTATGCACTTTTGTCGATTAAGAAAACCACATGACGGCCCAATGCTCCTCTTACAGGACAGGTATATTGAGTGCAAACCAACTGGTACATTTCTTGGTGTGCTGCTGGACTCTGCACTAACCTGGAAGATGCATATCGATAATTTAATTACACGTTTTAAGACAGCCCTTAATATTTTCAGAGTGCTAGCCAACCCCAAATGGGGTGCTGAAACAGAAATTTTGTTACGAATGTACAAAGCACTCATAAGATAAATTATGGTTGTGAAGCATACTCTTCTGCTTCAAAAAGCACTCTAGCGTGTACCAGAGCTTAGGGTGGGTGAGTAAAACCACAATGCCAAAAAACCCAAAACTGATTTTATTGCCGGCCGTGAACAAGAAAACTAAAATAACATTGCATAAACAAAAAAATCTCTCTACAAACCTAACAGCCCCTTACCTAAAACCAGGCAGCGCGTTACCAAAATTAAAAATTTTGTCCCAGCCGCAACCCACAGGATTTAAGTAGTCTTAACCGCGACGCAACAACAACTCAAAATGAGCTCTCTCATAACCAAACCAAACACGCATGTCACCTGAACATCAAACCTTATCAACATTAGTCCACGGGCGTAATTTTAAAGCTTACAAGTGGCGTTCATTCTCAAACGAATAACTAAAATAACTATTAATTCTAACGTGCAAATTAATATCCTGTACAAGCGCGGTTGGACTCAATACAGGACAGTGCTATTCGGTATTGTCTAGGTGCATTTTATACCAGTCCTAGTGTTAGCTTAGCCTGCGAATCTGGAATTCTACCTCTAAGCCTGCACCGACAATACAGAATTTTAAGTTATGCATGTAGAATAAAAGCACAACCAAATCATATTATGAACTATGATATCATGTTCAGTAACGTAAGACCACTAAATGACTGGAGAAGATTACATAAACCCATTTGGTGAAATATTCAACACATCCTTGAATTAATAAATGCTTCCTTACCACACATGTTACCTTAAAGCCACTTGAGGTTTCTCCCTGGAAAGTGCCTGATATTAACATCAGAATAGATTTAACAGTCTATGGCAAGGAAGAAACTCATCCATCTCTTTATCTTCGAGAATTTAACAAAATTGTCAACTCTTATCAAGATTATATGTTTCTCTACACCGATGGCTCAAAAACAAATATGGGTACTGGATCTGCCTTTTCTACTGATGACGCTGAGTATGAGTGGTCAATGGGAATCTACGCATCTATATACACAGCTGAACTGTATGCAATTTGGCAAGCTCTCCGATATTGCGAATTGTATACAGATAAAAATAAATTTGTTGTTATAAGCGATTCATTGAGTTCTCTAGTCAGTTTGAAAAATCCATATTCAAAACATCCATTAGTGCAGATGATACTGTCAACACTGAAACATCTTGCAAACCTTGATAACCTTGTTACATTCCTATGGGTCCCTAGTCATGTAGGTATAAGCGGCAATGAAAAAGCTGATCGAGTTGCACATCGAGCAGCTATAGAAGCGGGAAATGAGACAACAGATAAGGTTTGGATCTCTAGTTCTAGCGACATTAACAAATATCTGAAAAAGAAAATAAATGTATCATGGCAACAGTACAATACTCACTTAAATAGAGTTTAAATGACAATTAATGGGTGGAGAGCACCACTATCACTTCCTAGAAAGGACATGACCGTTCTACATCGGTTAAGAATAGGACATACAGCAATAACACACAAGCATTTATTAACAAAAGACTCACCCCCAGTGTGTGCCAACTGTACGGTACCTACCACTGTTGAACATATTGTCTGTATATGTCCACTATATGCACCTTTACATCAAATGTACTCGATCTTTGGTAACTTACCTGATAATATAAGAAACAAAGAAAACATAAGTAATGTTCTACAGTACCTAAAGGCTGCGAATCTCCTTGAGAAACTGTAATAATGAACTAGGTGGCGCCAAAGACCTCAGCAGTTAACGCGCCGTAATTCATATTAAAAAAAAAAACATTTTGCGGTTATGAATCATAATAACTCTTGTTTACTTGATCACCGTAAAATGAAGTGTTCCAACAAAACTGAAATTACCAACCATTTGAAACTAGTTTCCAACCTCACATGCACAGTAGAAGCAGTTTTCAAACTATCACAGTATGTATGTATTATAGGACTAAACCTATGTGGTACAATAAACGAATGAATTTGATTTCAATCACAATCAGCCATGGAATTATTGTCGGAGGTAAATACACAAGAGCTTGATTTTTAATCCGATTATTTTTACACGAAAGTTTTGTTGCAAGGGAAAAAACTCGAGACCAAAAGCATGATAAAATCGCGACAGCTTTAACTGGAGCGGTTTTATCTCATGCTTTTGATAGAGAATTTTTTCCAGAAGGCAACAAAATTTGAGTGTATGAAAAATAAAAGTATCCCGATTTAAAACCAAGATCGACTGTATTTTAGTGAGATTTATAAAAGACAGTATTTAGATTTCACAACCACTATTATTTTACGCATTCATACACGCATTTTTATTGCCGATAAAAAGCTACCTATCAATTAATCACCTAAAAAAATCATCTGATTGGTTAGAATTTGAAACACTCACCAAGCTGGTTGGTCATATATTAATGGAGTGTATTAATCATAAGAAATACATTGTAAATTTCAAGAAAGTTGATATGATTTACTCTCGGATTTACTCAAAACGTACAAGAAATAAAAACTTTAGCACTATTAGAAAGTTTAAGGGTCTGTTAATAGTATATTATTATGCAAGTTTAATAAGACGCTGTATTATCACACAAGTGTGTTTGAAGCACGACTAGAGAACTCACTATTAATAAATATTGACAGTCTACCATTTACAGAAACTTGAAAATACAGTCGACAACGAATTATGCAAGCAGGTAGCAAAAAAAAAACTGTAGAATTGATAATATAACAACGTAAAATACCTACATTATAAGAAGTACACAGTTTAGTAATAATGTAATATCATTGTTTATTTATTACAAAGGCAATACCAACGCCAAGTGAGTTTGGACCCCAGGACACAATTCCTGTAGCAAGGTTGGAAGTCAACTCCTGCCCTGGGGCGACACCCAGTGCTAGATTAAAAATAAACAAGCTATCTTAGTTCAAGTTGTAAAGTTTATTTACACAAATTCGTTTCACCTCCTAACCAGTAACATTCCCTTATCTGATCTCTCGCATGCTCATAAATAATGTTTAACAGTAAATTAAAAAAATTCAATAATTCTTGTATGATAAAGAGCAAGCATTACATTCAATAATAATCAGTTTCATCTACTTCTAATATAATACATTTTTTGTACATAAAATGTAATAATGAGTACTAACATTGGATGGTATTTACCATAATTAATTTTTCCTACTTCCTCTTCGTCTCATTGACGTAGTGCATTGTGGACAGTACCACTTTCCCTTGGGAGGTGCCGTAATACCCACACACGGGTAATGAAACCATTCCGAAGGGCACTATTATGAAATAAAGACAACGTGTAACAACATGCAAATGTAATCAAAGTTATAACTTACATCTTCGTTATCACAGGCAACCATATCTCCATATGACACTTGATTACATATACAGTAGCGAGGCTCGTTAGGATCATATGTCCAATCCGCTTCGCCTCCATCCGCCACTTGCACTGTGGTCTCTACTTGTGGGGAAGCAGGTGCCGGAGACACTACCGGTGGGGTGGACAAAATTGCTTGAACGGTTGAGACTGTGTTTACATTATTACTCGTGCTAGAACCACTACCAGTCCATTTCCTACGGGCATTGTCATTAGACTCGAGGCTACTTATGGACACTTACTTTTGTTTTTTCTTGTTATTGTGATCTTGTTGAATTGCTTGGATAGCAGTTTGTGCAGCACCGGCTAATTCTCGTCCTATTCCAAATTCATTCACATGCACTCCAGTATTAATGGCCTCATATGACGCTTTTAAACTTGCAGTTCTCCGTCCTTGCTGCATCTGAAAAGATTTTCGATCAGAACTTAAGGGGTGTCGTTAGTGAGGTTGACACAAAAAAGGGGACTGCAAAATTTGTACCTTTCCTGTTTTTTCTTACATCCTACTAGCATCTATATGCATACCTTTCCATTGTACCTCTCCGAAAATACTGCCTTTTCATGTATGCCAAGCGCAGCAAAGGTAGGGTGTTCACGTGCGGGCGCACTGGAAAACTTTTTCCGTTGCACTGCGAATAATCAAGTTTGCTATAGCTATCCCTATCCCCCTATCCCATGCGTTTCTATGCATACCGCGACTTGACTTTGACATATATAATTATCAACCAATTTTTTACCATTTGTGTTAAAAACGGATCTTGATTAAATCGAAATTCCCCTGCAGAAACCTGTTCCCAACTATTGCCAGCGAAATCAAAAGAGAGATATTGATAAAAAAAAAAGGAAACACGTGAAAAAAGTTGGCGAGAATGTTTTGCTAGTATATTTATCGAAAAAGGGAAAATCTATGAAACCAAGTACGTTATGCGAGTAGGTTTTCAATAATTAAGAATTGTCTTGTGAAAAAAGAAAATGTGGACACTTGCCTGTGAATTTCTTTAGACACAATTACTTTAGAGACGGCCATTATTTCATACGCTTACCCTCGTGACAGTTTGACGCAAAATAAACAATCATAATATACCAAATAAGGCAAAAAAATTAAAAATTAAAAGGATTAGACGTCCCTAAGTGATCTTTATCTAGCTTAGATGTCAATATTGTCTAAAAATCGCATTAATTTTTTGACGATTATACATTGAAGGCGGTTCAACTAGAGCAGAGGTCGGCAACCTGCGGCTCTTTTGATATAAAGTTGCGGCTCTCCGTATTTATCTAAAGAAATTAGTTCATTTGTTCGAAATTCCCCTATTTCATTAATTTTATTTGTTTATTTGTGACATTTGTTTACTTTCTGGTATTCTTTTGTTTTTTTTTATTATAGCAGCCTACTCCGATGTATAAACACGTAATTAATTAATGAGTAGGTACTTTTGTGAAAAATATTGATAACATAAAAACTGCGGGGTTTAAGCACAGGGCACCCCTTATAAACATTGAAGAGAACACAAAAAACAATCGAATAGCGAAATAAAATAGTGGTAGTTCCATTTGAAAAAGAATAGTTATAGCACTTTGAACAAATGGCATTGAAACAAGTAAAAATATGCAGGATGTTCTATTTAAAAAGTTCAGTTACTTATTGGCATCGTAAAAATGTGACACCCTGTACATTCAAAAATAATATCAGTAGATTCGCAACCACCAATATTTTTTATCATGTATCAGCTATGTAGGAAAAACCGGCGCACTGTTGCATGACCCTGTATATAGCCAAATACTATAATATTGAATCAAAAATTTTTTGTGGCTCTTTAAAAACTGAGAAATTTTGTAAATTGTAATGTTTGGCTCTTCCGTTTTCACAGATTGCTGACCCCTGAACTAGAGTAATTAATCGACATGTGACGATTCAAATCGAGATTTTCAAAAAGTCAGTTATATAGGTGATATTTCCAAAAAATCAAAAATACCTCCCAAAAATTCAAAAAAATTGCTGATTCGATTCAAAATGCCATACAATGAACAGTGTGAGGTGAAACAGAGCTATCGACACTATGTGAGTAAGGCGAGGAGGCAAAGCCACCGGAGCCGAACGTATAACTTATCAAAATCAAAAAGTATTACCAAAATCGTTACAATTTCTACACATTAAATCGAAACTAATAAGTTGTCTGCATTCCAATGTTATAGTATGTATGTGTTAACAAATAAAAAAATGCAAACAAAATATTACTATAAAGTAATAATGAAAGAATTAGAGTAAAATTAAAACAGAGCCGACCAGATACATTACATACCTGTTGGGTTGCAGCGATGGCCTGCGATGCAGCAGCGGCAATAGCGGGACCTGCGCCAATGTGACTTATATTATAACTAACAGTCGGTTGAGGTGTAGTCGTGGCAACTTGTGGTGTCGTGTTATGTCGGGTTTCTACAACCGCAACAGGTGCAATCGCCTGTCTCTTTTCCGCAAAAGATGTTTGTAAAGAAGAACCGCTATCACGGCGCTTTTCAGCACGAGGTCTTGTTTCTCTAGAGCCACGTATAATGTAATAATTGAAAGAATCGAAAAATGTAAATTACCTTTCAAATCTATTTTCCTTCTGTTGGCTTGAAGATAAAGTTTGTCCCAACTGTGGAGTGTCTAATTCAAGTGAACGTTTTTCGAGTACTTCGGTTATTCCTTTATTATCTGCTTCTAATTCGCATTTGAACTTATGCAATTCAGTATCAAGCCTTCTTAAATACTTATCAACTAATTCGTACATTTGATTAGCCAAATGAACCTGAAGAATAAATGAAATCAAAATAAAAAACACGATAGACCAAGCACCTTCTCATCTGCTTCTTCTAATGTTTTATAATATTCTTTGCGTATATCTTGAAATTCATTATCAGAAGACTGTGGAATCTCACTTTGGTAACGTTTACAATCAGAGAAAAAGATTCTAACTCGCTTTTCTAATTCTTCTAAATTATCTACGAAATAAAATAGAATAACATTGATGAATTTGATTAAAAAGTTTTCTTATACTTTGAACAGATAAATCCATTTCGCGCATTTCTGAAAATCTGTCCCTTAATTCTTGTGGCAAGTGTTCGATCACTGCAAGAGCGAAATTTAAATTTCCCGCTTAGAAATTTGACTTGACTAACTTACTTTCAAGATAATCTTCTAAGTACAGCATTTTATTGGATTATAGTTATTTATTACCAAATAAATGTTACAAGATCGATTATTATAAACGAATTATACAAAATAGACGATAAAATCACAAAAATCAGTTCTTTAAAAGTACAATAAATGTCAATTTGCTATAATGAAATTTGGTTAGGTTGTACCAACTTAAATTCTATTTCAGTGGTGCTCAAAATGTTAGTACTTAAATTTGCGTAAAGTAGAGGGCGTTTTTCCCTTCGTATATTTCCCGCAATTATTAATGAGGATCGGAGCAATGGGTCTACCGAATGGTTTTCCTAAATCGTTCAGTTTGCACAGTGTAGTATTTCCTTTGATTACTTTTCCAAATACCACTCTTGTATCATCAAATTTTTCAATGGCGGTAAATGTAATTGAAAACTGAGAATTGTTCAATCCATTTCTCACAGGAACCATTGACAAAACACCTAAAAATAAATGTATTGTAGTAGTGATATAATTATTTGTATAGTACTAAACTAATCGTAAAAGTAAAAAAAATCGACGGAGAAATTACTTATGTCAACCAACTAATGGCCGTTTGCACCGACAAATTTGAGCTTAAAATCCATCCCAACCATTGTTAGGAATCTATTACCAAAGAGTAATTATGGTTACTCTTTGGTATTACCCAAGGTTAGTTGTGTATTACCAGTATTACCATTGGTAATACTACATAATTAAAATGCGGTAATAGTTATTTGTACAGCTAGTTTTGAAAGTGATACTTTTTTTGGAATTATGGGTTATTAAGGATCACTATGCAAAAAAATTTCGTGTACAACACGTGTTGAAAAAAAAAGACACTTTCAACACGTGTTGTACACGAAATTTTTTTGCATAGTGATCCTTAATAACCCATAATTCCATAATATCATTGACATTCGCCATTTCCTGTCACTCAACAATTGAGCTATTGGTCATAGACAGGACGAAACGCCATCGAAACGCATAGCAAAAATCGTGAAAAAAAAGTATCACTTTCCATACGATTTTTCACTTATAATTGCACAAGAGGTTTGTATTTTACCGAGTAAATTTGGGTTGTTTAGGTAATGAAAATCTGTTGCCTAGCAATTAGACGAGAAAAACTGTCAACTAATAAAAATGCGACACCGCAGGTGGAGCATTTTTAGGTTGACAGTTTTTCGAGTTCAATTGCTAAAAGGAAACAGATTTGAATTGCAACAACCCAAATTTACTCGGTTTAAATACAAACCTCGAGTGTAATTCGGCAGGACAATTTAACGAACAAGAAATTCACCAAACTAATCAATTATTGACAGACGTCAAACTAGTCATATGGGAAAGGATAATGCGATAATTGGTTCGAAAATGAATAAGTGAAAAAACCACTAGTGCATTTGTCGCTGGAAAAGTTGCAGGTAACTTTTGCCGCTGTCAAAGTGACAATTACACTGCGGCTTATGCGATTTTTTATACATGAGTTGAATTGTCGTTAAAAAAGTCCGGTAATTTGATAACTATGCAAAAAATATTTTGTATTGAATTAGTGCTAAAAACGTTGCCATCTTTAATAAAGGAAGACGTTTAATTCTTACAAACAAATGAAATTGATCTTAAAGAAATGTAGATTCAGGAAAAGAGACTGTCACCGCACACTTTGCTGACTACAACTACAGTGACTTAATTTAGAACAGTGGCGACAACAACATGGTATCTCGTTTTTGATTGGCCGTTGGCTCCGGTCGCCATATTGGAGGTAAATTCCAAACTGACCAATTGAAAACCTCCCAAACGACGCGGTACACGTACACTCCATGCTATAATTATTAATTATACTGTTTTGACAGTTATACCGTTTTCCAAATATCTTTTTGAATTTGGGAGGCAGTGGTTTTTCCATAGGTCCTCCTGCAAAGTTTTAAACGATTATTTCTGTGCTACAATACATTTTTTAGCTCCAATATGGCGGATTATGATAAGTTGTCGCCACTGTCCTAATACAGTCACTGTAACTACAACCATAGAAAACACACGCAAATAAAAATCCGACGAGATAGGTGTTCATATAAAATTTCCATAAAACTGGCGCCATCTGCAAAGAACTTCGTTCAGAGTACGGTGATGTGGTTCAAGATGAGACGTCAAATGACATTTGCAGGAAATTAACCGCTAATTTACTATATTTTGTTCTACGAGTATAGAAGCGGCAAGAGAAGCGGTTGATCAATGCAACCACTTATTTTTTTAGTGCCAGATTTATGCAACACACTCCTCTTGATATTCAATGATATATGGTATATTTTGTGTTTTAAATAGAAAGTTTGCAATTTACGTTAAGCAAGCCGTAGCACAGCACAGTTTAAGGATCAGAGTCGCACGTCTACCAGACTCACACGCCCCTCCTATTGTGCAGGGTGGGATACGAAAAGCTTCGCCGAGTGAGATGGGGAAATGTATCGCAATTTTACATTATACCATTGTATATGATTATACTTAGTTGCGCCTTTATTTCTCACTGCTCACTCAACGATTAATTTCCGTTATGGTAACTCATTTCAATGCTACATCAGCTCTGATTGAGCATGACTTCAAAAATAGAGCCCCCGATCTTTAGTTGAGAATTTCCACAAAAGTTACCTATATTTCTTTAATCACTTGATTGCTTGTTCTTACCCATCTTTGTATGTTTCAATCGATGATTTTCTTCTGGAAACGTCTCGCCGTATATGGACGTACCCCCCTTTCCGTTCCCTTTCGTAATATCACCAGTTTCAACATATTTTCCAGGAGCAACGCGATGCACTTGGCAGTTTTTATAGGTAAGTCCGTCAAGTTTGCAACACAATGAAATGAAATTTTGTACAGTAACTGGTACATAATCACTGTACAACTCTATAATTATTCTTCCTAGGTATGCTCCATCTTTTACTCGAAAGTCCATGAAAACTCTATTAATGTAATAGATTAATAGATTAGGTACCTATACTAATACTCACTTCGGCCTCTCATTTTTTTCTAAATCTTCAAGACTAGATATTGACGGTTGTTGGCGTATGTGATAATCCAGAGATTTCTTATCTAACAATACACATGGATACTTAGAAGAGTTCCTTAGCTTCTCAACAACATGTTTCCAGTTTTCATCCAATTCTTTCGTTTCGTATTCCGATTTCTGCAGCAATAGATCTTATAGGTAGGTATATATATGGGGGAAAAGAAAAACCAATTTACCGCATTTACAATTTTTTGGTACGTAACTATATTCGTGCGTTCTATTTCTTTCATATTGAGTTCATGCGCCCTCCATCTCGATCTGTATGAGTATGCTATAGGATTAAACGTATCGATCCATCCCTGCAGTTTGAATCAGACGTGAAGGTATCGACTTAATACCTAAGTTAATTTTTACCCCGTTTCTGTTGATGACGTTAATTTTTTGAATCATAGCTCGATTTTGCCTATTGATCTCAGACATTCTAAATCTGTCGTTCACTAGTCTCTGGGAATTGACATATTTATGCGGATTCATGGGAAGCGGTTTTGTGTCAATTCGAGGCTTGGCAGTAAACAACTGGTAACGGTGATTGTTATAATTTCGCAAGTCACTAATGATTGTGTCTTGGTCTACTTGTCCTACTAAGTATCTAGGACTTTTTAGAAACGGCTTAAATTTGTTCGATTTCTTCTTCATCGCTGCGAAAATTTGGATTAGTTGCCTTTTGTAAATCAACAAAATAATTGTTTTGACAGTTGTTCAAGGAATATTAGATTTTCTCGCTTTCATTCTGAGCTACAATCAGAGAATAACGGGCGATCAAAAATGAGTTGCTGTCGAGTCGCCTTTGGAAGTTTAAGTTAAGTACGATTTCCCATGTAAACAAAAGTTCCAAAGGTGACTCGACAGCAACTCATTTTTGATCGCACAGTACCAATAAACTAAACAAATATAGAAAAGAGTTCCTGGGTATGGCTATAGCATGTGCAAAACCAAATTTTGAAACTGGCGTGATATTTGCTTTATCGTACTTCCGAGACGAAAGTGACAACTTCACTCCATTATGACAAGGACTGAAATGTCACTTTTTATCCCTCCGGGATTAAATTTGGACGAAAATCCCGGAAGAATTAAATTAACAAAGCGCATATTCAGTAGGTTGTTCCACATTTTTTATGCGGCACCACTTCTTATGCGCCCAGCTTTGTGAAAAAGAAGACTGTGTCGTAACTGGGAAGTCGGGAAGAGTTTTTGGAAGTGAAATAAAAGTTGTTGCAAACACGGAAAAATGACGGCCATGCCTTTGCAAGTTGGAAGTAATGTAGTGTAGCAATTTGATGGCACCGGATTCTCAAACTGGGAATTTAGAGTAAAATTGGTATTGGAAAAAAATGAAGTGCTAGAAGTTCTTGAAGAAGATTTCCCAACCAATGAAAATGACCTGGTGATGTGAAAGCGCGAAATGCTAGGCGAAATGTTACTGTGCAGTGGTTGGCAGATAATGTGTTGCAAACAGTAAAGCATAAGAGAACGGCAAAAGAAATGTTCCATGCTCTAAAGGCAACATACACAAAAAGAGGGTTATCCATACAAGTTGATCTACAAAGGAAGTTACGTAATATGAAATTTAATGGTGACACTTTGAGTGATTTCATCAAAGAATTTGAAAAAACTGTTGCAGAATTGAAGGAAAGCGGAGGAAGCATGAATGATGAGGAAATAGTGTCTCAACTCTTGGCAGCTATGCCGGACAGTTATCAAGCAATAACAACTTCCATACATGTGATATTTAGTACCAGTCCGAAGGATATAAACATAGACTTAGTGAAGAGTAAGCTCCTGCAGGAAGAATTAAGACAAGAAACTGTCAATTAATAAAAATGCGACACCGAAGGTGAAGCATTTTTAGGTTGACAGTTTTTCGAGTTCAATTGCTAAAACGAAACAGATTTGAATTGCAACAACCCAAATTTACTCGATTTAAATACAAACCTCGAGTGTAATTCGGCAGGACAATTTAACGAACAAGAACTTCACCAAACTAATCAATTATTCACAGACGTCAAACTAGTCATATGGGAAAGGATAATGCGATAATTGGTTCGAAAATGAAAAAACCACTATACTGTATTCATTTTAAGAAGGTAGCGGTAGAAAGCATAGGGAAGCTTTGACCTTCACTGTGATTGGTTAAAACATGAGTCAGTATTACAGTGAAACATAAAACGACTGGTGAATTTTGTAAGGTGGTAGTTTATGTTGCCAACTAAACTGCCGAAGTGTTATTAGCTGTTATTGTCAAAGGTTTATTTCTGTTCACAGTGCTGAATATTTCTACTTTACAATAATTTGGTGCCGTTTTATATTTTTCCTGTGTGTGTTTATCTTCAAATACAGCGCCATCTACTACCTTCTTATAATGAATGTAGTATAGTGCATTTGTCGCTGGAAAAGTTGCAGGTAACTTTTGCCGCTGTCAAAGTGACGGGCGATCAATAATGAGTTGCTATCAAGTTGCCTTTGGAAGTTCAATTTGCTTTTATTCCAAGTGGCTATGTATCAAATTTTATTTAAATACCTTCATAAATAAGAAAGTTTGTAATTCGGTCTGTAAATGGTCGAGGTGCGCAAAGGGCACTGTGAATGCTGATCGATTAGGCTCAACTTTTGGAATTGTGTTTTATATGGCTAAAGCTATGCGCATATTGAATTTCATGCAATTGGGTTCATAACTAAGGGTCTACTTTATTTTGTGGTCTACATTGCCAATTCACGAACCCCGATCTACAAATTTGACAAAGAATCCACCTGCAAAATTTCATCGTAATCGGTCCATCCGTTTATGAGTTATCGTGCTAACAGACGGACGGACGGACAGACACCGCAAAATTATAAACTCGCTGGGAGCTCGTTAATAAATACAATGTTGCGTATTTTTTTAATATGGGATTTATTGTGTATTCGAAAATAAAACAATACAAGGTTTTCTATTTAAAAAATTGTTGGCGTTATGTCCGGACAAACGAAGTGAAAAAATGTAGGTAGTTGTGAGTTAAGACAAATGAATTCTTTGCTTTCTACTCTAAAGTTTTACTCTAAAAAAATCGTTTCATAGATTACCGATATCGGTATTTGACCAAAAGAGTTTATTGATAACCAAACTTTTCTCCCGCGCGATTTGAGATTAGTGTAAATTTGCTAAATCGCAGTACCTATAATTTGCCTGAGGCACACGTGCTTTATATAGAAACCCATTAAATACAGCGTTTCAGAACTCTAAAGCTAAACCATATCGGTGCTCTGAATTGCAGTACATAATGTATTATCAATTTGCGGATAACGTGAAGCTATAGCATACAACGAATCAGACCAGAGCTGCTCTGAATAATTCTTTGATAGTACGTACAGAATGCCAATATGCTTCCGGAACTTGTGGCGCACTCTGTATAGGTAGTAACGTCAAAGTTGACATAGTAGATAAATTATGACGTATCGGTGATACTGATTTTGGTAGCGAATTTCTGTATTAAATAATGATAAATTATGCGTTCCTCGTGTAGTGAAACGTCACCAGAAGAACTGGAGTTCCGCGGTAAGTTATATTTTTTTATTACTTCTACACTTCTCTGCGTTTGGTACAATACAAATCTTTATGTCTTGCAAAAACTCCACCTTGACCGAGTCAATAGTCGTGTGGCGAATACTCTGCATCTTTGATTATAAAATACACTATATTTAAAGCTCTGTATTATTCTTATTGGATAGCATACTGCGTGAGCACCATTATAAGCAATGCGATGTTCAGGAAGGTATAGCATACTAAAATTGTTAACGTTCTCTCCGCCAGATTTGTAGTGGCAAGTTACGTAAAAAAACAATTTATTAATCAAAGTTGTGCATCTAATTTGTTCATTATAAAGCACGAACAAAATGCTAGACAAAACGGCAACCGGTAAAAGGGTTAACGACAATTTAATATAGACAATGAAAGATTGTTTATAGAGCAATGCCCATACACATACATGTCTGTCCGACGGCTGAGATGGGTATCAACTTTGTGAAGTGATCATATTTACTTAATAAGTAGATTTTAACGCGCGAGAAAAGCTTCGTGTGAATTACAGTCAATCACATTCACATACATTTTAAAATTAATGCAACTCTACCGAATTGAATATGTAGGTTCTGAGTGTCTGACTTGAAAGGGGGGGATTTTGCGGACTATATGTTTTATGTTATGTTTACTTAATGGGAACAATTGCACTTCACAGGAGAGACGTACATAACTCATCACAACTACGGTTCTTATCCCTGTGTATCAAACTTCTGCAAGAAGATACAAACGCAAGAGAATATCAAGGTAAATTGCATTATACGACCGTAAACTCTTTAATGCTGCGGTAAATTATTTCTAGGTTGCTCATACAGTTTTAGCAGGTTCGCCATTTCCTGATAGATGGTCATCGGAAACCATAACCAATGAATCGCAATATGAAGAGATAATACTTCAGTACAAGAGACTACTTGAAGAAGCCGAATATGCGCTTGCAAATAAAGACGAACTAATCGAGTTGCTTCAGAATCAACTTTTAAAATTAGAAAACTTATACAAGGAATCGGTGAACAAAATGGAAAATTACAGATATCAGTTTGTCGTCGCTTCCAAGGAGCTTGAAAATTTAAGGAAGATTTGTGCACAGGTAGGTTCCTTTTCGCGATCAAAGCAGAAATTTGCTTTTGAAATGTTGTTTTTCAGTAGTATAAGCAAAATAACGATAAATTGTTGAGAGATAGCGAAGTGCCTGGGTTGAAAAAGGGAATCTCTCAACTGGAAAAGGAAAACAAATATTTAAAAAATGTGTAAGTTATATCATTACTGCCGTAGTTATCATGTAACCTAAGTAATTTATTTATTTATTATCCCTCTCTTGTTCCGTGCCCTCAACCGTCTTGCGCATAACTACAGAGTGACCGGCATAATGCTTTTTAGAGGGTAATAAAATGAAACCAATAGCATATTTAAATGATAATGGCCACTCACTTTCGAGACAAATATAAAGTAGCATTAGATCAATGACAAAATTTTCATTAGCCTTGACTGGTTTGTTAACCCAAGAGCAGTAGCGTACTAACTTTTTGTTTGAAATCGAAAAGTATGCTTTCAATATCCCACGACAGCAGAACAAACATCTTCCCTCCCTCCCCCGGTGGGACAATTTTGCCCCCCTCGGTCTGGGGTGTCGTAACCTTGGGGTTTCCTAAGGTCATGTGATGTCACATAGCCTTGGGTTGCCTCAAGCTCATGAAACGTCACTAGGTATGACCCCGGGGTTTCCCCAAGGTTATGAGACGTCGCAAGATCGTGACCATGGGGTTTCTTAGGGCATGCGACGTCAGAAGACGTCATTTAAGAAAAGAGCCGAAAATTTGCTGCGTATATCATACGCTACTTCGACGTTGTACGTCAATGTAAATCACCGATTCTGTACGGTTTGCATCAAATTTGCTTCGTACACTCAACAAATTAATATTCCGCACGAACTCATCAGTAGTATACGAAGGCAACGTTTTGTTTCTGCAAGCGCACAGCTTCCTGCAAACCTGGGGATAAAACCAACAACATCGTTATCATCAGCAGCAGCGGTGTCTTAATCAAATTATCGATTATCGATGCATTTGCTGATATTTCTGAAAAATATCAGAATACCTCCCAGAGTATCCAGACCGATAAAGATAAAGAGTTTATTGTAAGATGTATAGCAGTTTTTTGAGAAATATCAAATGCACTTTTAGAGTAGATGACTCACAATCTTGACGTTAAAGCCTCTGTGATCGAGAGATGTAATAGAACGCTGAAAAAACGAATGTGGCGATACTTTACATATTCTAATGTGCCTGGACTAATACCCGTACACGGAATGTCACGATCTTGTGACGTCACATGACCTTACGGCGTTACATGGGAAATCCAAGGTTACGACCCCCAGACCCGTGGGGTAAAGGTGTCCCACCGGGGGGAGGGATAAGGTGGCTCTGTTCTACTCGCGACCTACAGTTGCGTACCGTCAACTTTGCTATAGTATCTATACCTATATATTATTTAACATTTAACATAAAACTTTCAGGTGCAATGAATTATCAAAAAAGATAGATGTTGAACAACAACATTCCAAATCTTCAGTGTCAAGCGGTACGCAATCAAGTTCAATTTACGACCCCTTAGATAACTTGAAAGATTACTGCATCAAAATAGAAAAATTATTGCAATTCCAAAATAAAAAAATAGAATCGCTTACTACGAAATGGGACGACGAAAAGGAGGTCTCAGTCACCTGTACAAATTCATGTTGTAAATGTTCAACAAATCTGGAAGAAATACTAATTGATATTTCCAACAAAGCCAGTTTCCACAATGAAAATCTTATGAAGTTGCTCAATGAAAATCAAACCATTAAACATGCCGTTACCAATTTAGAAACGGAAGTATTGGCTAGTATTCCAAATACACATTCAACTATCAATGACGTAAATAGTACTAAACGTAATGCTAAAGTTAAAAAATGTTCATGCTCTGACAAGGTTCATGTAGAATCGAATGGGTTGCTAGAAAATATTTTGTCAAAGGAACTAGACATTGAGAAAATTGAACACGAAAAAGAGGAATATAGAGTAAAGTTTGAAGAGTCGTCTAGAAAAGAACGTTATATAAACTCTGAATTGCGAAATAAAATTAGTGAATTGAATATGAAGGTTCAGGAAGTAGACGAGTTGAAAGCTCAAGCGACACAGTTCCAGAAACTGCTCGAAACGCTTAAACAGGAAAATGAAGCGTACTTGAAAGAATTGAGAAGCTTAGCACCTGCAAAAAAGTTGGAAGAGGAACAAACAAGTCAAAGCTTGCGACAACTTAAGGAACAGCTGGAGTTTAAAACGTTGGAAAATCAAAAATTGCTCGAATGTGAAAAGGCACTAAGAAAACACGTTCAAAACCTAGAGCATAAAATCGAAGAAATGGACCGCGAGTTTGTGTCTGAACTAAACAAACGAAACGTTCGTATTGCTTCACTACAAGACCAATATAGTCAATATAAGACGGAATCTGAAGAAAAAATACGTGTACTCGAACAAAAAAATGCAACATTCCAAGAATTAGTACTTTCGAAATCTCAAGAAATTAGTACCTTAACTGAAAACCTGCGGCAATTAAATGAAAACTTAGAAGTCGCCAAATTAAGAAATAAGAAGATTTTGCAGGGTAATGAAAAGTCGATCGGCGAAATTTCTACGTTGTTTAAAAATAAAGAAAACCAATGTCATGAGTTAGCGCAAAAAGTGAATGTTTTAGAAAATACTGCGCCAACTGATGGTGCCTGTGATTATGACATAGATCATATACGGTCAGAATTTAGGATCGTTTTTCGTGAAGTCTTAGAGGTTTTAAAAAACGTGCAACAACGAATCGCGAATAATTCTTGTGAGATTAGTGTGCCACCTACAGCAGTAGAAGACATCACTTTTCATATGCACCGATTTAATGTCATTTTGGGGAACGATGACGTGAGCGGTAACTACACGAGTATTACGCCGATACCGCGAGTAATGAAATAATCCTAAACATTGTTTTTTCCAGGGAGGTCTTATACAATTATTCCAAATACTTCATCAGGCTCACATAGAGCATTACCACGAAAAGGCTTCGAAACAAAGGAGAAGATATTACACAATTTGCCGATGGTGGAAGCTAAACTAGACGATGGAAATACTAGTGAAAATGAAAGGGAGTTAAGCAATGAAGTATCACTTTGCCCATCTCCATTCCATCCTACAGTTGCAGATAACGTTGGCGATAGCAGTTTTATACTAACTATGCAACAAATGGAAAATGATTTGAAAGCATTAAAAGATCAATTGAAAGAGGCCACTGCCATAGAACACAAAGCAGAAAAACAGTTCAGTAATTTGGTTTTTAAGTACTTCCTTTTTTGTTTATAGTGTTTACATTTTGATTTTTGTAGAACTAACAAGCACGAATCTCCCACCACACAAACGAAAAATTTCCCTGGAGTAGAGAGTAGAGGTAAGTAAATTGTCTAAAAGAAACAGGACTGCAAGGATTAGGAATCAGATATTTATTTTTCAAATTGAAACCATATTTATAGAGAAGGGATAAAATAATTTTGTATAAACTAATAACTACAAAAGTGCACATAAGGGACTGTATAGGAAACTTGGATTTTTGCATATCATCCTTATGGAGAGGTTCTATCAAAAAAGCCTTCCAGGAAAAGTAATTTTTTCTTTGGGTATTTATCGGGGGTAAATTGTGTAAATACACATGAACTTGATTTTGAATCGGATAATTTTATTTTTACACGAAAGTTTTGTTGCAACGGAAAAAACTATAGAGATCAAACGCGTGATATCTTATGCTTTTGATCGAGAGTTTTTTCCAGGAGGCAACAAAATTTGAGTAAATTAAAAATAAAGTTATCCTGATTTAAAACCAACATCGAGTGTATTTTAGGGAGATTAAGAGAAGATAGTAAATTGCGCAACCACTGTTTACGCATTCCTACACGCATTTTATCGTTGCTATCTAGCGTCATTGAAAACTAGCGTTTTAGAATTTGAAACAATCACCAAGTATATTAATATTAATGGGGTGTATTAATCCAACAAAACACTGATTATATTAATGCCAACAATCCGTAATTGTGTTCCGATTCGAGCATTGTTGTCCAATTGACACAGTTACGCTTACGATTATTTATCAGTTAGCTATATTTCACTTGTTTGTTTTTCAATTAGAGGAAATTTAACCTACATTTATGTGTCAGTTTAGAGCTAATTGACACATATACCTGATGCTGGTCTAGCATTTATCCTTAGATAACAGATATGTCACTGTGTGAAGTAAAAAATATGCCTGCGGCATTTCTGCGCCTTTGTGAGCAATAGTATAGGGCCAACGAAGTAACCCTGCGGCTCGCTATATAGGAGTCGACAAACGTTATCGGATCATTGCTATGCTAATGACAGAAACATTAAGCGAAATAATGTTACCTAAGTATCTAAATTTGATGTTGATTACATGATGAATAATTGCAGAGTACGTTGATATTGAGATTACAGTGGCGGTCGAAAATAATGGCGATGACAAGATAACAAACACGTATGTATACAGTTGGAAAAGCGTTTGTGTTAACGTTAAATTAATTTCAGAAAAGGCAGTCTCATTCCCTTACCAATTCCAACATGTAAATCTAATCGTAAGTATGTCCATACATCTCTATTTATTTAGGGACTTTTCGTAATAATGGTGCCTTCACACTAAGTTGGCCCATCGTAGTGACTTACTTATCACTGCGTACAAGATTTAGTAGTTTATTGCCACAAGAAAAAGATATCTCTAACAATTTTATAAAAAAAACAGTTCTTCAGTTGTCTGTCTGCCGACTATTGGAAACATCTTGATGTCTCCGAAAAAGAAACTGTGATCATATACAGTTGAAAAAGTGGAGTGAAAGAAAATTTGAGAAAGACAATACTATCCGTTATTTATCATCCCAAATAAAAGATGAATTCCACACTACAGTAAAAAGCCATTTTTTTTCTTTACAAATCAACAAGTTCCGCCAAAAAAATAACAAATTAAAAAAAGTAATCGTAAACGATTTACATAAACCGCATTTCTACTTGCATTCATTTCCCATTTGCAAGATGCAACTTCTGTTAAAATCGTAAAAATCCGGCCACAAATATGAAAGATATCGTTGCACCATAACAAAACCAAATAACGAAAAAAGTAAAACAATAGCTCTTAAGATAAAGAACTAGTCCCAACGCGATGGACGGACGGACAGACGGACGGACAAAGTGGCCACAATAGCGCATTTTTTATTTTTATTTTTGTGGAAATGCACTAAAAACAAAACGGTGAATTGGACGTAGTATGATAATTAGTTTTGCCATATACAGGGTGACAATTTGAAAACTTACCACCCCCCATATCTTAGTAAATAAACGAGATATTTAAAAAAATCAAAATCCGTTTCGGTAATTCGGAGGGGGAATCACAATGACATAGTTGGCGACGCACCCCCTCACACCCCCTGCGCCCCAGCCATTTAACTTGGACTTCCAAAGCCGACTCGACAGCAACTCATTTTTGATCGCCAGTTATAATCTATTCTCAAACTCTTGTCGAACGTTTCCTATGTTGGTTTTGCAATATTTCGACATTCTTGAATTATTCTCTCTCTTAGTTCGTCTAATGTTCGCCGGTTGCGTTTTAGATACGACTGACAGATTTCAAATGTATCATATTAGTTTATTTTTTGATTTGCACGATAATTACTAACCTAAATGTAATGCTATTTGGTATGGTTGGAAAGCATTTTTTCAGAGCTTTCCAACGACATATCACACATGGGGGGTCACTATTTAAGATTTAAAGTTGGGGTGGCTGGGGCGCAGGGGTTGGAGGGGGTGCGTCGCCAACTATGTCATTGTGATTCCCCCTCCGAATTACCGAAAACGGATTTTGATTTTTTTAAATATCTCGTTTATTTACTAAGATATGGGGGGTGGTAAGTTTTCAAATTGTCGCCCTGTATAGTTGATTGTGTTATTTCACCTATTACTACAGAAGTACTTACATACAGAATTATTTTCTATGCGTAGATGGTGAATGCAGAGGGCGTTGTAGGAAACGAGGCACATCGGTACCCCCAACCCAGCAACTAGATTCAATCACGGATTCGGCGGATAATGAATATATATGTCCCTGTTCTTGGTGGTAAGTAGGTTGATCTTAGTGATAATTTACACTCAATTTTACATGACAGAAAGTTCGATTATATTCAACCACGAACTTATAAATTAAGATGGACTGCTGATCAAACAGTTGCATAGAGGTAGAAATGGCCCTAGCATTGGCGCGGCCATGATGTGCACGTTTTAGTTATTTTCTAGGGGAATTTTTCCTAGTGCTCAAGTATTGAGACTATTGCAGCCTTGGAAAATGACATGTGTCACAGTAATTTATTTAGAAAACGCGAGGTTAATGCTTGTTTATTAGTTGATTTGAATTTCGCGCCAAGTGAGTGCACATCATGACTGCCCCCATGTAGGTGTCATTTGTCAATTCAGCATTAGCAGTCCATCTTAATTTATAAGTTCGTGAATTCAACTAGATCCTAGCTTTATTGAAAATTATTTTTTACGGTTTTCTTGTATTCACATCTTACTTATGTAGGTAAGTAGGTATATAATCTAAGGATTCTAAGGTTTAGCTCTATACGGGATAGTTGACTCGTCCGCCATATTGAAGGCAAACGGCTAATGCAACGTTTCATAAAATTGTGGCACGCACCTCCCTAGGATCGAGACGAGTTAACTTGATGATGTTACGTTAACGGCGATTTATAAAGTGTTTACCAAATGTTTAAATACTAAGGTTTTTTTAGACTTAAATATGATCTTATACCCCTATACATATACAGTTGGCATCATTAGGGAAAAAATACAAGCAGAGCCAACTTTCAGAATGACGGACGTTCCGCGCCAATTTCAAATTTCGGTAACAGTCGACTTTTGGGTGATATTATGGAGATTCTTCTAGGTGAATGTAAATTGAAGAAAAGGATAAGAAAATTTCTACGGAGCAAATCCAAACCGAAAAGTCAAAGAAAAAATTATCAGCAAAGTAACCCCCACCCCCCCCACCCTTCCCGCCCCCCCCCCCTCCCCACACAGCCACAAACAGAAGAAATAAATCCACTACTACGGTAACAAAATGCAAAAACGAAATACCAAATCAAACATTTTAATTCGTACAATGAAGATCAAGTAATCGAGTCAGATCCAGTTAAACAAATTATTAAAAACGAAAACACGATTAATATAAATGGAAAACAAATCAATTTAGCATAAAAAACACATTTACCTACATCTATATGGTTTAATTTAGACAAAACAATTCTTAATGATAAATTGCATGTACCTAAAAAACATCAAAATGGCATGGTTTTATTAATTTAACACGAAAAAGTGCAGGTGCGAATTCAAGAAGTAGATACCTATTCAAATTAAAAGTTGATTATCACACAAACAGACCCATCTTTGAGCGGCGATCACGAGAGAGTGAGGAACAGACACAACGAAGAATCGGAATTGTATTAGGCGCTTTCTTCACGGTATACACGATTAAGAGAATCATACCCTTGCCTCTGTCACGAATACATCAATAAATACTTAATAAAGCAATAAATATAAAGGCATAACCGCATGTGCATATAATGTATATTATGAACAAAAACCATGATTAAATCAATAGCTTAGAGCACGGCATGCTTAAATAAACAGATGTCGGAATTAAATGCCAAACGTAAATAATGACTCGAAATTTAATGATTGATGATAAATACGAGAAATAATGAAATGATTAAATGTGATATTCATCTGTAAGGCGTGTTGCCTATCCGTAAGGAACACAACAAGTCCATTTTGGATATTCAAATTTCAAAGGTTTTAGACAGTCAAATTTCTACTTCTACATGTGCAATCTTCCGCCTAGTTTTAGGTTTTGAAACATTCTGAAGACGGTTCATAGTATTATAAACAATATTTATGTGCATTTGTTAAATTTATATGTAGGAACTAGGCAGCACGTTTGATATCAAATTTAAAAAATATCAATTACATTGTTTATGATGTCCCGGGATGAGTGTGACGAAAAATAAAAGTAGCGGAAAGTTGGTTGTACCGAGAGAACCGTGAGGTAATTAACATTGAGGTGAGAGAGAGAGTGCGCGTCGGACCGCCAAAAAAAACCTGATCCGCGAGACAGAGGGCGAAGTTAAAGTAACCTGCCATTCACCGAGAGGTGGTCTTGTGTGTGCGAAAATCGCGTTGGGCTGCGATCGAAGTGAAGTCAATCACCTGTAATTTACCATAGGGTGGATTTTATATTGTGTTTAGAAATTTTACATGGAGCCTGCAGCGCAGTTAAGCCGACCACCTGCAATTTATCGCAGAGTAGTCGTGTGATACTCTAATAATCGAGAAGTTGTTTTATTTTGGAGAGCTTGCGGGTATCTCGGTTTGCATATTAGAAAGTTCATTGCAAAAATTCACGTATAAAAAATAAAATCACAAACGTCAATATCGTACGCGTGGCCGTCGTTGAATCGACAGTCGAAACCTTTGATTATGGTACTACTATAGTTGAAACCATAACATGTAGATACAGTGTCTATTGAATGTTAGGTATATAGCCTATACGGCAGATACCAGGCAACTTTTATTTTATGTTGATAATTATTATCTTCTTTTGCTTACAGCGTTCAGCATAGGCTACATTCTCAGATGACAGCGACACGTCCATCAACCAAAGGAAAGGATTGTAGTGCAACTTGTTCTAAAAAAAAGTGATATACTTACTTATATGCAAAGTCAATAAAAAATAGTGTGGGAGTCTAAGTGTTAATTGAGTCATTTAATTTTGGATTAAATTTACCTACCAGAGTTACCTAATATGTAGTTCCGTATTAAGAGACCCGATAGCCACCAAACTTTAGGTGTCCAATTAATCGAGTCTGGACCTTTATGTAACGTACCCCACGGATATATGGGTCAATGGGTGTCTAAAATGTAGGCAAAGGCGCGCGGCGGCGTAACTTTCAAGCGTGTGTGGTACCGCCATGTTTACAACAGCGACACCATTTTCCGCTTTTCGAGTAAAAAAACTGAACCCAAAACATTTTTTGTTTGTTTACTTTGATTTGGTTCATTTTTAGCTTCCTGGCATGAGCTAGGGTAGCTATGGCGATCACCTACAACATTTTGCTCTAAAATTTTGACCTAAACAACAGAGAAGTTACTTATATTGAATTTTTACAGAATGAAATATGTTGATTTGTATTATATTGAGGTGGCAGTTTTTTCTGGAACTTTAGTTCCTGTTGAACCAGCTTCCAGAAAATCAATAGCGTCCGTCCATAATGTCCAAAGTACCCATACATCCAATTTCACCACAATCACTCCCTTTTAAAAAGAGTTATAGCGCACACGGACGGACAAGATACAAAACTATAAATGATATGAGGCTCCTTAATAAAATCTACCCTTATACAAACTCATAAGTAACATGACTGTATGCTATTGTCATTTTTTATTGGAATATATACACATGTACACAATTGCAAGTCATTTGTTGTTTACCAACAAAATATCTACTACTACCCACATACTACTATGCGATCAAAATTGAGTTGCTATCGAGTCACCTTTGGAATTTTTGTTTACATGGTAAATCGTACTTAACTTGAATTTCCAAAGGCAACTCGACAGCAACTCATTTTTGATCGCCCGTTAGTTGTAAAGTGGATTTATTATGTGGGGTAGGTATTGCGCAAGATTATGACTATATACTTACCATAGCCCTTAAAGTATGTGTCTACAATAATGTATTTTGTTAGGTGGCACATTAAAGTATATGGAAGATATAACAATTTATGGGAATAGGTACTATGTCCGGGTTCACTTCAAAGTGAAAACCATATAAGTATAGATCATTTAAAAAATACCGCTACTTAATATTAGACAAAAATTTTGAAGAAAGTATAGTTTGCAACTTTTCTTTAATCATTGCAGAGTTAAGATGTAACGCCCGCAGTGATGTGACAGCGGTTTGTAAAGTATTTTGAGACTTTAGTAATTCTTGATCAATCGCAGTTAAATTTTTTCCAGCTTGTGTAATGACACTTTGAGAAAATGCATCAAGATCAGTGCATAATTGGTCATTACACTCTCCTAAAATCAACATGTGACGGCATTCATTAAGCACTTAACTTACTTAGTTTTTTATGCAGTAGCGAATCACTCTTATGTTGATCGCTAAGACCACTTTTCGTAAACTCTTGTGCTGACTGTGTTAAAACGGATACTGCACTTGCAATGCTGCCTGGGTTTTCTATAAAGAAAACCATCACTTAATACCTAACATACACAATGCAACTGCTTATAGATAGTAAGTTATTACCATCGTCAGACTCCGAGTCTTCGCCTGTTACGATTGCAGCTTGAATAGAAGTACTTGTAGTCATATCTTTCACCTAAATTCCCTATTTGTATAAAACTACAGCCTTAAGCCAGAATTTACCTTGCAGTTATCATCATCACTATCCGTTTCAGAAGCCTCTCCACTGATAATGACGGATGAATTAATCATTTTCCTATCTCTTCACTGAAGTACGATAAACAGGAATTGTATAATTTCTTATTTATTCTAGCTTACACTGCCAAACCTTTTCGAAGTAATGAACAGCTGTTTTTGAAAGATAAATAGAGAGTGGTTGCGTTCTCCCACGGATACAAATTTGAGAACGATTGAATGCGGACAGAAAGAAAGGTGGGGTTATTCATAGCGTTTTCGATTGGCAACACTCGTGCTGCACGAGTGCAATTTTTACGTTCTATTGGTAAATTTAGGGCAATTTTCTGTGTTCCATTGGCAAATGTGATGCAACAATTACGCACAAACAAAACAAACGTGCCACAATTTGAATTTATTTCTTGCGTTGGAGAGTTTTTTGTCGTCATCTAGCGATAGCGAAGATGATGAACTACCCAGCAAACATGCATATAAATGATATATAGCATGCGAAGCTCAATCATATTACACTCGTTATATAACGATTTTCTGTACATGTTACATAACATTTCTTTTATTTTGAAATGTATCACACATCCTTTGAGAACATATTCACGGTATATATTACTATACAACTTTTATGATACATTGCAACTTGTCACTTGAACATATGCGATATATCGCAAATACAATCTACATTCACAAGTTTAAATTAATGACACTAAGCACATGCGCAAAGGCACGGTGAATTGTGCACATGTAAAGTCCCTAGATTACTTCTAGGGACTTTATGCACATGCACACGCTTCCGAAAATTTGATGCAATTAGGGTGGTTTTAATAAAAGTTTAATTTGTGTTTATTATTATAATATATATACAAACAGTTCTGTGGTGAAGTTTTAGTTTTTGGCATGCTACCAATTGAGTTAGAAAACTAATGGAGGGAATATAATGGTAGAGGGGGTAAGAATTTTTGTAGACGGAAGTTGCCACAGATAGAGGCCACTCGCGTGGATAGGTTCCCGTGAAGGTACATTTTGGCCGACATTATTGACATATGAAAACGCGGGTCCTGCCTGTTATATATATTTAAAATTACATCATAATTGCGCTGGAAAAAAAGAGTATCCTAGTTACGAGAATAGCAAGTAGGAAAATTGTCAATAAATTAAGTTTGTTCCATTCTGTTCCATTCATATAAATCAGAATCCACGAAATACAAATATAACAAGTGGCGACGAGGATAAGGAAGAATATTACAAAGTACAATGAATACCACACCTACAAATACAGTACAGCAGTCATTGAATACAGTACAACATTCATTTATAATTGAAGCGTTCAACCCAAGTACAACATCATGGGCCAGGTGGGTAAAACGTCTAGAAGGTGCTTTCAAGGTATTTAATACTACGGATGATATGAAAGTGTACTACATATTACACTACATGGGTGCGAGTACGTATGACATCCTCGCAGACAAATTATCTCCGGTGGAACCAGAAAGTAAAACGTATATAGAAATTATACAGACGTTGGAACATTTCTACTCACCATCGCCGTTAGAAGTAGCCGAAATATTTAGATTTCAATCTCGTAAACAAGTAGAAGGTGAGTCGATCCAAGAATATTGTCATGCATTACAAAAATTAAGCATCAATTGCAAATTTGGTAATTATTTGAATAACGCTGTAAGGAATCAGTTAGTGTTCGGGCTTCAATCAAAAAGAATACAAACTAGACTACTAGAAACAAAGGACCTGACTTTAGAAAAAGCCATGGAAGTCGCTAGCAGCATGGAAATTACCGAAAAAGATATACAGCAGTTACAACACAAAGGTACAAATGTGCATGCCATCAATTACAATTTCAAGAAGGATACAAAAAATACACACAAGGGAGAAGATACAAGTGCAGCCGCGAAGAAGACCAATTTTCAGGAAAAGAAGAAAATCAATACAGGAAATTTTAATTCTAATACTAATATACATTGTTTTAGATGCGGAGGCAATCATTTTGCCAACAAATGTAAACTAAACAGGAATATCACATGTACATCCTGTGGTGTAAAAGGTCATTTGAGAAAGGTTTGCATGAAGGATAAACAGGTAAATAATGTAGAGGAAATTTTACAAATTACATCGGAATCTACTGAGTACAGAAAGAAATATTCAATTACGTTAAAGCTTCAAAATAAATCAGTAAATTTCGAAGTTGATAGCGGTTCAGCCGTTACGCTTATAAGTTATAAGTCAGCAGTGTTACAGAAAATTGTTTGCTACACATGCTCTTCAATGTACAGATTTAAAGCTATTCTCATATTGTGAAATGCCTGTACAATTAATTGGATATATTACAGTGAACGTTCAATACAATCACCAAAAGTACGATTTGAATTGCTATGTTACAAAACTAGATAGACAACCACTATTGGGTCGCGAATGGATTAGACAGTTAAATTTGTTACAAATAAACAATATTTTACAAATTTCATCCAAAGTAGAAATAGGGTGGAATGATTTATGTAAATGTTACACTACAATTTTTAATAATGACTTTACTAAGATTAGAGGTATACAAGCCAAGCTTCAGTTGAAACCCAACGCAACACCGGTATTTATTAAAGCGCGCCGAATTCCATTTAAACTAGTACCATTAGTTGAAAAAGAAATAGATAAGTTAGTGGAAGCAGGAGTGTTAGAAAAAGTTAATACGTCACAGTGGGCTACACCGGTAGTGCCTGTTTTAAAAAGTAAACGATTCGATTATGTGGTGATTTTAAAGTCACTGTTAACCCCAACTTACAGATCGATGAATATCCTTTGCCAACGATTGATGAGTTATTATCTTCGATGGCAGGAGGAATATATTTTTCAAAAATTGATTTACGAATTTCGTACTTACAACTTGAGGTCGTACCTGAAGACAGACCACTCTTAACATTAAATACACATAAAGGTTTATACCAATGTAATCGATTACTTTACGGAATTGCATCTGCTCCAGCCATTTGGCAAAGAGAAATTGAAAAAATTTTGTGCGATATTCCAGGTGTTACTGTTTTTGTAGATGATATTAAAGTTACAGGGTTGTCATACGAGGAACATTTATATACACTAAAAACCGTTTTTGAAAGATTGAGCAAGTACAACATTAAAATTAACAAAGAAAAGAGTGAGTTTTTCAAAGAACAAATCGAATATTGCGGGTATGTTATTAATAAAGACGGTATACATAAATGCAAAAAGAAAATGGATGCCATTACAGAAATGCCTCGACCTAATAATGTTTCAGAAGTACGAGCATTCATTGGCTTTGTAAATTATTACGGAAAGTTTATAAAGAATTTAAGTACAATTCTTTATCCACTAAATCGATTATTATGCAAAAACTCTAAGTTCCATTGGTCAAAAGAATGGGAAAATAGTTTTCAACTTGCAAAAACAGAATTTCAAAGTAACGAATTTCTTGTTCATTTCAATCCAGAAAAACCAATCATAGTTGCTACAGATGCAAGCTCTTATGGTGTGGGTGCGGTTCTTTCACATGTTGAACCAGATGGTACAGAACGAGTCATACAATATGCATCACAAACATTAACAGAAACCCAAAAGAAGTATACCCAAATAGACAAGGAAGCATATGCCATCATTTTTGCAATTAAGAAATTTCACCAATATTTGTTTGGTAATACTTTTACGTTGTACACAGATCATAGACCTTTAACACAAATATTATCGCCAACAAAAAGTTTGCCATTTTACACAGCAATGAGAATGCAACACTACGCATTATTTTTGCAAGGGTTTAATTACACTATTAAATACAAAAATACAAATAATCATGGTAACGCAGATGGTTTATCAAGACTTCCAAGTAGAGCAGACACATCAAATTACGATGTAATTGATATTTTCCAAATTGATACAATTGAAACTTTACCGATTACAGCACAAAAATTAGCTGAAGAAAGTAGGAAAGATTTAGGTATTTCAAAGCTTATCACATCCTTACAAGTACAGAAAAATATTCCTAAAGATGAAAGATGGAATATAGAACAAAATGAATTTAGCATTCAGCAAGGTGTTTTAATGAGAGGACACCGAGCAGTCATTCCTAAACAGTTACGTAAATCTATATTAGACGAGATTACATGAAGGACACTTTGGGATGGCTAAGATGAAAGGGTTAGCACGAGGAATTTGTTGGTGGCCGGGTATTGATGCAGATATAGAAAATACTGCTAAAAAATGTGTTAGTTGTAACCTAGTCAGAAATAATCCCAAACAAGTAGAAAAGCATATTTGGGAACCAGCTGATCAACCGTTTCATCGTGTACACGCAGATTTTGCAGGACCTTTCATGGGTAAATATTTTTTTATTTTAGTTGATAGTTATTCAAAATATCCATTTACATACGTTGTTAATGATATCACAGCGAAAACTACAATAAAAGTTTGTAGAGAAATTTTTGCTGCATTCGGATTACCAAAAGTTTTTGTAACCGATAATGGCAGTACATTTCATTCAAGAGAGTTTCAAAACTTTTTGAAACAAAACGGAGTTAGTTCCAAATTTACAGCTCCTTACAATCCATCAACAAACGGGCAGGCGGAACGTTTTGTTCAAACTCTAAAAAAATCACTTTTGAGTACTCGATGCACTAATAATGAAATAGACCAAAATGTACAAAAAATTTTAATGAAATACAGAATTATGCCTCATAATGTTACACAAGTATCACCATCAAAATTAATGTTTGGAAGACAAATACGTTCTCGTTTAGACAGTTTTCTTCCTGACAAAGAACAAGATCATGTAGTTAATTTTGAAAAAGAATGTGTGGAATTTCAAAGGGGTGATAGAGTCCAATGTAGGATTTATGTTGGTAAAAACAAGTGGACTTTTGGGAAAATATCCAAAAGAACAGGTAGATTACATTATGAGATTACATTGGACAATGGTAAAATATGCAGAAGACATATAAATCAGATGATGAAATGTCACAGAAACGTACCAGTACAATCCGATGTAGAATTAGATCATTTTGATTATGTAAATCCCGAATCAGACTCAAATGAACCAATTCAACCACGACAGGAAAATTTACAAGAACCTGAACATGTAACACAGAATGTAAGACCACGAAGAAATGTTAGATTTCCACAATACTTACAAGATTATGATCTTAATTAAATGTACGTTTCTT